TATATATATACATATATAGAGGTGCTCCGGTGAGAAAGGTGCTAAACACAAGAAATGAGAATAAACCATGACCACAAGATCAATAGAAACGGACGGACAGATGTGGTCAGGTGGATATTCACGCCAAATAACTTAGAAGGGCACTGTGGTAATTCTGAAACACAATAACGCGCCATCGTAGCTGCGGGATTTCATAACTGAGGGGAAGATATCAAAATTGAATAGGGAAAAACCCTTAGCTCGGCGGATTCAAAAATTCCGATGGGAGATTCAACCTGAATTTTGCAACTGTTCGTCTGTTTCAAGGATTCCGATCAATACACGGGCATTGGAGTTTGATTTTTAACGATTGCGTTAGTGCTGCTCGTTCATCTGTCCCTTTATCATAAAACTCAGATTCAACCTCGATAATCCGTTATTGTCAACCTCAGGACACATACCAGGTAAGTTGAACATTAATCATAATCTGCAATGTAATTCGATAATTATTATACTACTTCCAATCTACAACCAGTAATCATGTGTGGATTTTAGGGGTCTAAGTTGCATCAAGACCAACCAATCTGACTACCAAAAAATTGCATAATTCAACCTTTCACCCTGTGATTTGAAAAAAATACAGTTGCAACATATGAAGTTGGACGCCTCACAAACAGGTACGATATGAACTTCTTGTCATTAGTTGCTTGAATTTAGTATCTTGGATCACACATGTGATCCAGGTTGTCTAGAGTGCATAATTTATATTATATAATGCATTTTCTTCAACATAAATGTGCACTTTAATGGTGATTTATTTTTATCATGTCTTGTTTCAGAACAAGCCCCGAGTGACAGAACACAACATCATCGACTTTTGATATCACCTGGGGGCACTAAATATTGGATACCCCAGTGGGATGACGCGCTGAAGCCTCACAATGGACAACGATTTAAAGCTTTGAATGAAGCAGTCGACTTCTACCAACTGTATGCTTCTACCGTATGGTTCGACGTTAGGCACAACACGTTGGTTAAAGCACGGGATAAAATGATACTTTGGAAGTACTTTGTGTGCTCACGTGAAGGCTACAAACAACACACAAACACAGGCCAACCGGGGCCAAACAAAAATCGTGTAAGAAGACGTAGAGTATCCAACCGGGTGGGATGCAATGCCCAAATTATGATACGATTCGACGGACGTAACGGGTATGTTGTTAAGTTTTTTGAGGAAAAACATAACCACACCATGATACCTGATGAATGCAGATCGCGATTGAAGATCAATTGAAACATGTTCGTCGCGCATCAAAATTTTGTCCTTAGTTGTACTAAAGCCAATATCGGGCCCATAAAGTCACACAAGCTGTACAAGGAGATGGTTGGCGGGTATTTGAATATTGGTGCAACTGATGTCGATTTTAAAAATTTCAAGAGGGAACTCCTTGCGTTCATTGTAGGCGCTGATGCTCAGCCTTCTATTTCCACTATGAGGTGGATGATGAACATTGCTTACGAAGGTTTTTTTGGGCTGATATGATATCGAGGCGAAACTACAGTTCTTTTGGAGATGTCGTGTCATTCGACACAACCTACCACACCAACAGGTAAAAACAATCTCGCACTAATATGATATGTGCAACATAATATCAAACAAGACACTTGTGCATTATACAGACACTATGTGCTAATATGTGTTGTTGATTATATGGTTATAACCTGTAGGTATAATATGATTTTTGCACCTTTTACCGGGATAGACAACCACAGAAAATGTGTCACGTTTGCAGCCGCACTGATATCAAACGAAGACGTGGGTTCATACGTATGGGTGTTCGAGAACTTCAAAAACACAATGATTCAAGAGCCCAACGACATGATCACCGACCAGGACCCTTCAATTGGAATTGCTTTCACCAAGGAATTCACTAGTACCAAGCACCGCTTTTGTACGGGGCATATAATGAACAAACTGTATGATAAGGTCGGCCATGATTTGACTAATGATACCAATTTCAAACAGAGAATCAATGAACTTGTTTGGTGTCGGCTTATAGAACCTGATGAATTTGAAACTAAATGGGCTTCAGTTATGAAAGATTATTCACTGGACACCCACAGATGGTTTAATGATTTATATGCTAAAAAGGAGCATTGGATACCGGCTTACTTTAGGGATGTTGGGATGAGTGGTTTAATAAGGACTACGTCTAGGTCTGAAAGCGAGAATAATTGGTTTAATAGTTTTTACGAATAATCATTCTAGTTTGGTCGAGTTCTTGTTACACTTTGATAGTGCAATGGACGCACAAAGAAACACATCAATGAAGTTACAAAACGATTGTGAAACCCATCTAGCCGATCTAAAAACCCCGCTGCTGATTGAGAAGTGTGCCTTAAACGTGTACACAACAACAATATTCTATCGTGTGCAAGCTGAAATTTGTGATGCGTGTTTCAAATGTCGAGTTATGAGTTATTCTGAAAACGACGGTCGCATGGAGTTTACTATCAGAGACATTGATGGCAAAACGTTTAACGTGATGCACAATGCGAACCTGAATACATCACATTGTTCCTGTAAGCACTTCGAGATGTATGGATGGTTGTGTAGGCATGCTTTCGTTGTTATGAAGGATATGAAAGTAGACGTTATTCCGCCCGCACACATCATGTCAAGGTGGACAAAGCTGGCCATTAGCACTCCTATGTTCCGTATACTTTACAGCATTTCTGAAGAGTGCGCACAAATAGACGAAAGGAAGTCAATGGTTAATCAATTGTGGTCTGACCTACATATATGCATGGGGTTCGCTGAGAAGCACGTTGACCATCTTGTTGAGTTTTCAAAGATAATTGAGGCACATAAGCGGAAACTCGTGGAATATCAGGAGAGTGACTCATCAGGCAATGACAGGGGGCACATTTTTGAATCGTTTGTTGGCATGTCCGCGCCATCAGAGGTAAGCATCCACTCGCCTACACAATCGAAAAACAAAGGTAGTGGGAGAAGGATGAAAACCAACAAGGAGAAGTCGATCGAGACAAGCAATAAAAAACGAAGGATTTGCAAGTTATGTGGCGGGAGGGCAGGACACAATGCACGAACATGCCCTAAGAAGCCGTAAATTTACCGTTGCATACTCAGGTGACTACCATTCTTTTATATCACTCAATTTGAATCTTTTTGCACAATTGTTAACTTTACAACCAAATTTGAAATTCATTATACTGAAACTTTCTGATTATTATAGAGATTTAGCTAAAAAGACCGTCTTATTTTTAGGTCTGTACGTACATGGAAGGTAATGTACTTCAGTCAGTAGTATCGGGAATCATATATTATATTATCCTTATGCGCTGCAAAATTTTATTTTATTTTATTTTTTATTTATTGTTTTTCTTTTTCTTTTTTGCCTCCGCATATTTCACAATGGACAACCATCGACATGAATACTAATTTGTACATAATTACAATTGCAGGCACGAATATTCTGGAGACCTCCAATTGGAAACACAAGTATATCACTGGACTCGTTTATAGCGCATGGTGTACTCGAGTTTATTCTATCTTAATTACGAAAAATGCAAACATTGTTTTCTATGCTAAGTTCTGAGACTGGAAGTTATTATAAGTGTTGTCAAACTACTGGTACAAACGCAAACGTATTATTATTTCGTATATGCGGTTACTGCATCAATGGGATTCTTACTCTAATATTTGAACAATATGTAGGAATCCATCTAATAATTGTTCACTGAATTGTGGACATTATCAATAATCCTATAGGTATTGTTCAATGTTGAATGCACAATATCCCGACTGAAA